CACCAACTCATCTCGCACAAGCCATTGCACTGCTCAGTCTGCCATCCCTTGCTTGTGCACAGTTCCTTTTGCCCGAGTTAGAAGCTGACACAGAGGTCAGAGCCTCCATACCCTATTCCAGCATGAGCCATCAAGTTTAAAAGAGACCCTACCCAGACACCTACAGTTGGAACACAATAAACAACAGCATCTCCAGAGCCCAGCAGAGATCAGGGCTCCATTCTGCCGAGCGCTGTACTCATCCCTGGGGAGAGCAGCACCTTCACCAAAGAGCTTACACCCTGGCAAAAAGGTGGGAGAAAAGATTGAGACCCTCACTTTGGAGCTGAGGAACAGAGATAGACTTAATTAAGTTTGTACAGGGACTGTGTGGCAGAGAGGCAAACTGAGACAAGGTCTCTGTTTTTCCATCTACCCTGATACGGATTTAATGCAAAATGCGCTGACAGAAGCTGGGGTACTGAGAGGATCTTTCGCTTGGGTGGGAAATTTTGGTATCCAGTTTCAGCGCTGCCCTTGCTTTCTCTCCTCCACTGCCAGGGGACCTTAGATGTCTTGCAGCAGCAGTGGAGGAAGGTGTCTCATGCTGGCATCCTTCCACGGGCACAAACTGACTGTAGCTGAGGATGCAGGGGGAGCTGAGTGACGTTCGAAGGAGCATCCCCTCAAAAGGGACACTTTGCAAGACCATAGGAGCAGATGCATCATAGCTCCTTACCATTTTCATTTTCTTAAAGGAAAGGGTCTTTCTTACCCTCAGAGAGAAGATACCTGCTTTATTGCTTCCTAACGCACCCGGACATGTCACCCAAGCTGTGAGGGTTAGATAACCCCGCTGCCAGTGCCACCAGAGGCAGAAGCAGGCCCAGAGCCCAGCTTTCTGGTTCCATGTGCCCTCCCCATGAAAGTGCACTCCTCTACCTGGCTGCTGTTCTTCCAGATCCCAGACCCAACACAGCTGGGCGAAGCTGCCAGGTCAGCCAACCACCACTGTCCCAGGGAGCAATACCAGCTGCTCCCGAGGCAGCAATAACGCTGTAGGGCTGTCCTATATTGCACCCACACGTACACACCCCAGCTCCTCTCCCCGTGTGCTGGGGTGCCCATCGCGCACCCCGCCCTGGGCTCCTGGCAGGCTGGCCAGTTCCCCGTGTTACAGGGTGGGGAGGGAAGATGTTCGGAACGCCTGCAGCTATTCAGTTACCAATGGTTGTGTTTGAAGAGCTTCCCTATCGCCCTTTTGTTAAAGCTTTGGCTTCCCCCCCATAGCCTCAACAGATGAAATCAAAGGGAAGTAGCTTTGCTTGGTGTAACCTGTTTTGATCAAGCAGATAAACAGGGAACAAGTGTCTGACACAAACAAACAGACAGACAGAGGCAAGTCCCACCTCAGCATTTTGTTGCATCAGATACAGAGGGCTTAGATAAACCACAAGAAGGGGGAGATCTCTGCCTCTCGGCTTGAAGACCAGGGGCGACACTCTGCAGTGCCAAGCCCCCACAGTTCCCATAAAAAAAAAATCAACCCAGAACTTGCTGGCATGGCTTTCATCAGTTTAAAAAGATGAAAAGAGCTTTCAGCCAAGCATAAAACGCACGCTTGTCATTACCCCCCATGGAGTCAGCGGGACTGCCTGCGAGCCCAGCCACAGCCGCCGCACGCCAAGCGTTAAGCCACGCTGGCAAGGGTAAAGAGGACCCTTAGACTGGAGAGATGACCTGGTGCTCGGAGCGGGGCTGACCTACACAGCTCCTGGGTGATGGGGGAAGGCAGTCCAACCCACGGCCCTCGCAGGAGAAACTCGTGCCTATTCCCCTGTTCCCCCTCACACACGTACTGTGATAAAAAAGGCAGAGTTAAAGTAAAGGAGGGCTTAAGATTCACAGGACTGGGTAGGGCAGGTGATATTCCTTAGAATTTTTTTTTAAATCATGGCTTTTTGTAAAATGGCAAAATTTCACTACAACCAATAGACATGGGGGGCTGGGGGGGTGGAATCAAACAAATATGGGTTTTTGGAGAACATCTTACTAAAAGCTTTGAAGTGTTTTCTATGAAATTGGTATGGATGAAAAAGAAAAAAAATAAGCTTAGCTTTCCTAACCTGCTATGAAAGATGAACAATTTTGACAATTTTCTTGAAAAAGAAAAAGCCCCACAATTATTTTAAACACTTTCAAAGTAAAACAATGCCCCAAATTACCCTTTTTTCCCCTCTTAGCCTAGAACTGGCAGAGATATGAAAGGATGGGATTATGCTTCTGCTTCTGACACTTCCCATCAGATCTTTAGGCATCAGTTTTAGATCAAGGGCTTGGTTTACAAAAGCATTTTGGCACCCAACTCCCTCCAATATATATATATTTTTTTTTTAAATTCTTCTTGGAGCCAGTCTGCATCTTTTGGTGATGAAAGGCCTTTGTAAATCTGCACCTAGAAGGATTGCCATTCTTTATAAGCTGTAATATCGTTAGTTTGGTAACTGTCCTCTCCTTTGGGGGTAACAAGATTCCTGGGGAGCTGTGTGGATTGGTCCAATTCATTAGGAAATGGGTCTTCAATTAATGAGTCAGTGGAAAACAGATTTTCCCACATGAAGCTAGTAAACAAAACACTGACCTATTAGGTGTTGCAGTAAATATTCCTCTAACAATGTGTATAAGGGAAAATAAAAACTTCCAGGGAAGTTCAGTACAAAGAGCTTTGTTGTTTATAAACAGAACGGTCGGAAAGAGGGAAAAAAAAAACCCTTGCAAAGATGCGTAGAGGTTTTAGGTAAAGCATCGAGGCAGCCCCTCCGTGGGCTTGGCTGGTCGTGACTACCAGTGGGGCTGATGTGCCAGGTTACACCACCCGAAGTATGACAAACACAGCTGAGCAATAGCATGCGATCCTGCTCTGGCCACCCTCTTCTCTGAGAGTCCTGCAAGGGACCGGTCACCCCGCAGGAGGGGTTGTGGCGGTTTGCTTGAGTCCTGCAAGAAGCTCCTAACTCTCTGCAGCGTCTCTCATCACAGCTAAGTCTGATGTGGTGATCTCTGAAGATCCTGAACAGATCAACCAGTCACGGGGACTGTATTAGAAGAAAGAATAATTTAAACAGGTTCCTTGTATCAGTCCGCAGGGAAGTGTCGCTCTTTTGCAAATCAAGGAGATTTACTTGTTCTGATTTCCCTGCTTGATTTGAAGGCTCCTAGAGCAGAAGAGCTAATGCTGCTGCAAACATTTTTGTTATTTTAAAACAAATTGACTTCACTTCTCTGCTTTCTTTTCTCAGTTACCACTAGAAAGAGGTGCTACAGCTAACACTACTGGTTGTCTGGAAAGTTTAAGCTGAAAAACATATTTTATCCAATCAACTGTGGTGCCAGCTTCGTCTGTTTAACACTATTGACTACAACATCAGCAGCGAGAGCCTCCCGGTACACTTAGTAAAAGCCAAAACCAAATACTGACTCTCATAATAATAGAGCCTTCCCTAATCTTGATTCAACTATGCTATCCATCAGCTTTGCGTGCCAAGGTGCACCAAACATTTCAGGAGACTCTGGTTCCCAACTTAAGGCCCTGTAACAGCTACCAGGGTTTTTTGAAAGAGCTTGGGAAGTTGCGGACATGTTTGTTGCTAGGCAGCTTGGAAACATTTATCTCAAAAAACAACTTGGGGTCATCTGAAAGCCCTGAGCAGAAGCTGACCTGACCAAAGTCAATCAGAGTTCACGGGCGTGAATAAAACCAGATTTTATCTCTACCTTAGATTATGTCAAATAACCCAGCTTAATAGCTAAGAGCACAGAGGATTTCTAGTCCTTAATGTGCGGTGTAAATAAAGGGGCAGTTTTAGTCCCACTAAAACATGCCTCGGTTTCTCTGGCTTTACCAAGATCTCGTTTTTTCTAAAGTCCTCTCAAATGACAAAAGTAAGAGAGAAACAGTAAAATAATTCCATGTAAAGTTTTAATCTGCTGCTATACCTCCTCCCCACCCCAAGCTTAGGGCTCTTCATTACTCAAAGAACAATGATTCTTCTACATTGTCTCTATGAGTTTTAGTTTTAAAAGGTGTTTATTTCTAAGTCTATAGATGAGCCTCACTGTTTCTGATAATCTTAATTTCTTATACCTAGTGGGTGCTAAAAATATTTTTTACTGCCGTTTGTTTGCCTAAAAAGGACTCTGACCACGAGCCTTTGTGAAATTACAGCCTCGAGGTCTTGCATTCAAAGCCCACTGCAGGCAGTGGCAGTCAGAAGCGATGCCAGAAAGTACAAAACTGATTTTTTGGGTGTACATCACACCTTGCGGCAATGCAGGAGTTGGTAGGTAACCTGGCAGAAGTCAGTACTAACACCAGTGTCATCATCTTCAAAGGATCACCCTGTTCTTCAGCTTTCCGTATTCAAGGAAAACTGGGGCTTCTAGCCAGGGAGCAGCCTGAGTCTGAGCAGCTGTCAGGTGGGAGTAGTGGAGACGAGAAACCCAATCATGCTTCAAGGTGAAGAGTGATCAATTTTTGCTGGAACTACCTAGCTGGATATGATTATTCCTGAAGTCCCTCCCATTTTTCTACATACACATGGCCAAAAAAGGCTTAGTCCCTGCAAGTTTTGTCTAAGGAAACGTTCCTGACATGAACCCTGCGTAAAATGAAGAGCTTTTTGTGCTAAAGTGAGCGGACCAAGACTATTTCAGTGGCATTATGCCTTTGGCAAGATGTGAGCGTATTTCCGTGCTAAAACCACAGAGGACATTACTGAGACACACACTGATTCACTGCTATTACAGAAGGATCTTGCATGCTGATCAAGATACGAACGCAATCCTAGCCCAGAGCGCATTCTTGATCAACTCCCAGGCTGGTTGGAAGAGCACAGTGTAGCAGCAACAGGAGTCAAGCAAAGCATGGACAGAAACTTCCAGCACCCATGCCCCCCTTTTCTTTTCTTCTCCCTCCCTCCTCGGGCTCCCTCGCCTGTCCCCACGTCCCGGACCCTCCTTACCTGGCTCCACCTGGTCGGGTTCATGCCGAGTATCTGTGGAATCTGCCGCATCACCGCTCATCTTGATCTCTGGAAAAGGAGGCACAACTGATTTTAATAACAGGTCACAGTCCCAGGCAACAGGCACATGTGGCTTTCACTAAACAGCACAAATGAATGTGTAATTATAATAAACCATCAGACTTTCAAATTTCTGATTCCTCAACATACAGTCACTAGAATATTCATCAGCTCCGAGGATGCACTTTCCCTCCTGTTGCTCTTTGCATCCCCCTCATTCCTTTCCCCCCTCCCCAATTTGCTGCTGTGTTCTCCCCTTTCGCATCACTCCTCTCCCGGCGCAGAGGATGCGGGGTTGTTTAACCACTGCGAGCCCTCCCAGCCTCTCCCCCGAGCTTTATGCAGGCTTCCCAAGCCAGCTGGTGTGGCTCTCAGTTTGACACCATCCTCCACCACACCTGTGGAGGCAGGGGATCCCTCCTAGCTTTCCCCTCCTCTCCCACATCCTTTCCTTGTCCCTCCGGATGGCTCAGCCAGGCCAGTGCTTGGTGCTGCAGGGAGGACCAGCCTCAGAAAGGCAGGCACAGAGCAAGATGCTCTCAGAGACGGGAGCGAAGTCTCTCTTCTCCTCTCACTCCCTTGCCGACTCAGCTTGTTTCTCTCAATACATATGATCCCTATTTGCAAACTATTTACCCTGCTTTCTCCCACATGTATGTGCTCTCACCTCCCACAAACCGAAGAAGCTGCCTTGCTCCAAAGCACTGTCCCCAACCCAGGAGCAAGAAGAGTACTTTGCCATCAAGCTCCCGCATATTTCCCCCCACCCTTATCAATGCCAATAAATTTGTCATTTACCCTTGAAGTGATGGCTGCCACCACACCCGGGGCCACGTTCTCCTTCAGGGACAGCTGAAAGACAAGGTGGGAATAGTCAAATTTACACCAGGTTGCTCATCTCCTCCTTAAAAGAGGCAAAGTACACACCAGTGAAAGAAGGAAGAATATCTATTCAAATTCAGACGGACACCCCTTCACACTCTTATACCCTTTGCATGGGAATTTTAACTTTCCAGGCTAGTTGGGGAAAAAAGATAATAATTTTTTATAAAGAACCAACTGATTTGCATGTGCTTCCTGCAGCCAATCCCGGCCAAAGGAGTCGTCTGATTTGCATCGGGTAATAACAGCAGTGTGGAAGCTGGGCCAGTGTTTGCTGTGGTTTCGCTGGGGTAGAAAAGGCAGGTGGAAGCCTTCTTAAAGGCATCGTGCAAACCTTTTCCTCTTTCCTAAATAAGCCTTATGTTATTTCCAAATGGCCAAAAGGGTGAGAAGAACCCTATAGGTTTTTATACTCATTTCCCTCTATTACTCACACTAAAGCAGGCAGGCCTTTTTGTTTGGTTGTTCGGGTTTCCTTTTCCCCTATTCGAACTTCCAGTGTGCAAATGGCAAATTATCTGCTTTTTGGCCAAAATTGAATACCTTTGTTTAGGTTAAAGTTTGAAACTTTTTCTCCAGGAAATGAATAAAGGAAGAAAAAAATGACAAGATTTTATACCAGAGACGGAGTGCAGAAACATTCACATACTTCAGAACCTTCCTTTCTTTAAATCGTATTAAGGAGGGCGGGGAATAAGGAGAGAGAGAAGACTTGTGGGATTTTTTTTTCCTTTCAAATAAACCCGCTGCAATTAAGACATGAACATTCAGTGGGGCTTCTGAGCATTTCTACTGCAGGAAGAGTAATTATCATCAGCTATAAACATCTTCTTGTCTTGTAATACTGCCAAGGGACCCTAACTTAGGCAATCTACAAAGCACAAAGTTTTGTTTCCTGCCAAAATGTATCTTAAAAAAAAAAGCCAAGTTCTCATAAAATAGAGCAAGAAAAATCTTACATCATGCAGAAGTTTGGTGCTTGCTTTAGTGAGAAAGTCTGCAAGTTCGCAAAAAAAAAGTTATGCAGGTTTCATTGTGTATTTCACACAAATAACAAATGAATGCATGTTCGTGAGAGAAAATTATCTAATCCCCAAGACCAAGGAGCTCCTTATGGGCACGGAGCAAGAGACAGAGCAGTTCAGACAGAGCTGAAGAAGGGAGGATGCAAAAGCAAACCATGAGAAGCTTTCTCCCTCTCACAAGAGTGAGCCCTCAGCCCCTCTGCCATTTATAACCTGGGGTGGGTGGGGAGGAAGGAGGAATTGCAGCTGTGGCTTGATTACATATCACGTGCTATCCATCAGTTAAATTCCCTCCTTCTGGAGTCAGGAGATAACAAGATACGCTGTGATTCTCTCATACGTACAACAGAAGAATTTTTTTTCACAAAGATTCAAATTCCCATCATAAACGTACACATATTTATTACATTTTTATTACATAAATGTAATAAAAATTGAAATATCTTGGGGGGGAGGAAACAATCCAGGAGGAAAAAGAGAACCCTTTTGATCAAAGCCGACTGATCTGAGAGGTTTGGGGCTGGCCAGCTTTTGTATACCTAGGGACAGCAGTGCAGCACCAGTCATCTTCCAAGGGGTCCTTGAGAACAAGGAGCAGACATACAGAGGAATTACTTCCTAATATGATGTAAGTAAGTGTAGCCAAGATAAAGGCAACACCTTTTTATTGACACCCAAGAGTCTTCCAGTATAAACCAGGATGGAGTGATGCATCTGGATTTGAACATCTTCCCCAGCTGACAAAATATCTCAAGACAAAACAGGCTGTGAGACTTTGAGTCCAACTGAATGCAAACTCCACCGTACAGCTTTGCTAGTTTGGCAATAGACGGAGAATAAGCAGGCTGGTTAAAAAAAAAAAATCTCTGGGAAAAATAATGCAACTTAGGACTGCCTAACTCCTAACCACAGACCTATTAGGAGCCGCCACTGCGGCCTGGGCCATATTAAAAATGTGCTGCTCTACCTCAGCTAGCAAACAGACCTGGAGTAGGGGTAGTCTGGTTTGTTCACCCAGACCAAAGAAACTATACCAGTGCAGACACTTCTCTGGGGATATAGCTGCATCTATATTTTTGCTGAAACAAATGGTGTCAGCAAATAAAACTTTCCCAAGCCCTTATTCCTAGTAGTTGTTCAGACATGGGCACTGGGGTAAACCAGCCTGATTACTTTAAAAAGGAAAACGAAAGCTGGTGGTGGTAGTGGGGGGAACTCAGCTTGGCTGAGACCATTACCTGCAGCCTATTGAAGTTTCTGTGCTTTAGGTGCCCGAGCCCCTCTGGAGGCTCCGGGAAGGTAAAATATCCAAATGCCTGGGGAGGAGGCGGCGCTACACGCCAGGGAACGCGCTGCTGCAGGGAAACCCTCTTGCCAGGGAGGAGGGCGTGCGGAGCCCGAGCAGCCCACCTTCACTTTGCATGCTGCCTCTTCTCTGCGCGGCCGCGGAAGAAACAGAGCACACCTCTGCGAGCAGCTTACTGCAAGGCCTTACTGTTCGGGGACCCCAAGACCGAACACGCTGAACTGCCTTTGCATGAGGGTGAAGAAACACCCTCCCACCAGCACTGGGCTCTGGCACGTGAAAGTGGTTGGGCCCAGGCTGGTCTCCCTCCCTGTGAAAAGACCACTTAAACCTTAGGCCCTTCATGACAGATGGCAGGGTGGGATGATTTGGTAGAATGGAAGTTCAGCGCGCACCCAGCTCTGCGCAGCTCCTGGCCAAATCCACCCTGGGAGTGATGACACTGGCTTTGACAGAGGGCACAGTATCGATTTTGGGAATCTTCTCATGAAGAAAGAGTCGCCCACAAGCAAAGCAGATGGGTGGATAGGAGCCTGCGGGGGATGCGTCCCCGAGAGACACCACACACAAGCACACCCATCGCAGGTGCTCAGACTAGTCAGGCTCACACGCTGAGCCAAGACCACGAGCCTCCCGCCTCCCGCAGCCTCTCCTTGCGGCCAGCTGCGCAGTGCTGGGGGCTCCCCAGCTGCCCTCCCCGTGGCTGGCACAGGGAGCCAGCCTCCTCAGCGGGGTGCTGACTGGCCATGGAGGGGCTGCTGGCATCCCAGAGCCATGGAGAGGTTGCAACGCAGCCATGGAGCAGAGGCTTTGGCCATCTCTGCTGGCCTGCTGCAGGCTGAAACTGTGTTAGGTGACGGCATCGCCGCAGCATCTGCCTTGCCCTGCAGGCCTGCCTGTGAGCCCACATGTAGGCAGGGCCTGTTGAGGGGCTACAAGCACTGGATTGGGCACCTAGGTCTCCCCTGCACAGCAGGACCACCAAATGCCTGAGCTTTGCTGCAGCATGCCAATAGGTATGCAAAGGGAACGAGCCTAGGACAGACTGATGGAAGTATCCGCCCCGTCCCCTCCAAACCTGGAGACAACAGGCAGCGTCTCCTGCTGCACAAAGCACCAGACTCAGTTCACTAGCAGGGCATGTGGCTCCCGTACCCCCAACACCCTGATGCCTGCCCCTGCCGCAGAAGGGGCTGTCAGGGTCTGGTCTTCACTGCTGCTGCCGCTCTGCTCCTACCCCAGCATCACGCTCAGCTCCAGCATGCCCAGGGATACATGCCCAGTCCTTCCCCTCAAGCACAGGGGATTGATCTGAGGGCAGAAGCTAAACTCACTCTGTCGGGGCGAGCCGGAGCTCAGCACAGCTCCAAGGGATTTGGCAGTGATTGCCCTTGTTCCCCAGCTAATTGCAGAGGGGAGGTCTGCTCAGAGAAGATGTGAGACTACCTAAGCTGTACCTCTGGACCGGACCCCCTGGAAGGAGTCTGTCTCAGTTTCTGAGTATCCCTGTTCATTCATTCCTCACTCAACCCAGCCTCCTACAGCTCCCTCTTCATTCATTTCTCCCTCCTTTTCCCTCTTTGTCATTAACTTTTCTCCTTCCAACCCATGTCCCATCTAACTCTCAGACACACACACACCGCTCCACCCTTGCCACATCCCTCTGTGAATTTATCCCCTCTCACTCCTCCCAGCTTTATCCCAATGACTGGACCCACAGGTCAGGCACTAAATGCTCATTTTCCAGGTACCCAAGAGACCTCTGTGCTCTGCTCTCCGACCCATGTTAGGGCTGGCAGCATGAGCGGTGCGCCCACATTGTGGGCATGGCTTGGCAGCCCCCTAAATAGGATCAGGGCAGCATCCATCCCCAGGTAGGAACGTGGGCACTTAACCAGGCACTGGCTGTGATAGCCGATTCCAGCGGGAGAAAAGAGGAGGGAAGGGAGGGAGGAAAGGTCACAGGAATCAGAGCAATCCCATTTCCTGCCCAAGTCCACGATCTCAGCTACGTGGTGAGCTCCAGCCCGATCCTTCCTCAAGTGCTCTTTACCTGCGTGCACAGACTCCAGGTTCACCATCCTGCTGGTGGAGGGAAATCCGCGGTGCGCCCAGCCTCCTGCCGTCAGCCCCAGGTTGCCAGGGGCTGCCAGTTTGCCCTCCCTCCTCTGCCACCCGCTACCTCTCAAACCGGGTGTGGGTCCGCTCCCGAAGGGACCTAGAGCTCCATTGCCTGTTGCCATGCAGGAGCAGGTGAGCATGCGGCGCCGCGCCACGCCTCGCCCCACCTCCGGCTCCCTCGGGTGCCCTGACACCCAGCAGCCTGGCGCCCAGCCCATGCAAAAGCGCCCATTTGCATATTAGTAACTCGGGAATGGATGAGTCCCTGCAGCGCTACCAGGGCGTGGGGTGGGGTGGGAAGGAGGGAGGAAGGAAGGCGGTTTGCCCGCCCTCAGCTGCACAGATACACCCCGCAGCACCTGCCTGCTGGGCTGCAAGTGGGGGGCTTTTGCGGGGGCTCTGCCGTCAGCCCCAGATCCGAGTTGTCCCCTCGTGGATAGGCTTTTGGCTCTGCCCCTTGCAATGCACGGGTAAGAGAGGCCAAGGCATCAAGCCAGGCTGGGCAGCAGCCGCCAGCACCCAGAAGTGAAGGCGTCGGAGCTACGGGAACAGCCCCTCCAGTAAGCAGCCCTTTCGCTTCATTTCTGGCCACTCTCATAAACCCTGGGGTCTGCTCAGAGTGAGCCATGAGAGCAGCCAGTGCAGTTGAGTCTTTGCATCCCCTAGGTCTGGGCTGAACTTGAACGATGCCATATGAAACAATTGGCACAAAAAGGAAAGTTAAGAGCAGAAAGGTAACCTGACTTGGCTAAAGACACAGGGCAGGGTTAGGATCAGCCCATGGAGACTCCCCTTTCCTGACTTGTGCTCTGTGTGGTACGTCAGTCCCCCAAGAAGAGGAAAGAAGTGGCAGACAGCCTCTTCCTCCTCCTCCATGTTGTTTTAAAGCTGCAGTATTTAACTGACTTCCAGGGAAGCCAGGGAAAAAAATCCCCTAATGTTGGCTTCCTTGGTAGGAAGCTGCCAGAGGCCAGATCCTCAGCCTACGGGGACCAGCAGTCACCCTGGTGGACCCAGGCACTGCAGTTGCTCCCTGTCCCTGCCGTGCACTACCTCGGTGACCCCTACCATGGCCTGGGGTAGCAGGATAAACGCCTGAGCTCCAGCGCTGCTCAAACCCCTCCTGAAAGCGTTAACACGCTCAATTGGTAGCTGCCAGGTACAAGCTATCACACATTCATCTCTCCCTGGCTAATTCACGTTCCAGGGCTCTCGGCTTTCCCACATACTGCACTCCCTCCCTGGAAAGACAGGTTTCTCTGAAGAGATGGGTGGGCGGGTGGGCAGGCTCTCGAGCCTCAGCTCCAACCCAGTGCCATTGCGTGGTCAGAGAGGACATCCTCAGGAGAGGGCAACACGCTGGGAGGAAAGGGTGGATGTGTTAAACAAAACTCTAACAAGGAAAAAGAGGGGGAAAGTGGAGGGAGAGATGGAAGGGGGAAAGCAGGGAGGAGGGGAAGTTCCCCAGTCAGACTAATGTTTGCAGGACGGGGTGCAAGGGGAGATTTCTGTGGGCTGCGTTTAGCACTGCTCCAGGAAGCAGAAAGATGACACGGGGTGGTTTGCACAGGCAGCTTGTTTGGAGCTGCTGGAGGGACTGGACTCCTGCCACCGATCCTGAGCCTGTGGCAGAGCCCCAGCCATTCAGGCCCTGATCCTCGGGGCGTTCCTGGGCAGCTGCTGGTCTGTTTTCTAGTGTTTTCGGCATGACCCCCACATCTGGGTTTTCCCCATCTCAAAGACTGATGCGATCAGGTGTCTTCACTGTGTCAAACATGGATTTGCTGGTGGCTTCCAGCCAGCTAGAAGGGCCCCTGGGGCACAGGAGAAAGGCCCTGGAAGGGCTGGGGACCTCGAGAGCTCTCCTTCCCCCCACATCAGAGCACCTTTTGTCCACCAATCGGGAGTTTCACTTGACACCGATCTTTTCTCTCTGCTTCCTGGTGTTTTGCCCTTGCTCCAGAGCCGAGCAGCCTGTCCCGGAGCCCCAGGGAGGCACGTCCTCCCCGGCGGCACCTCCAGCCGGACAGGAATCCCGGGCATCCTCCGGCCGGGGACGCCGTCCCGGCCGTGGGCAGGGCCGCAGTGCCCTCTCCTGGCCCTGCAGGCGCTGCCGGGGGCAGCCGGGAATCCTCCAGCCGCCAGTCCTGCTCTGCAGCTGGTGGGATCGGCTTTTTCTGACTGCTATTTTGTGGCCAACGGAACAGCAGGAAAAAATTAATATTTAGGCGCGTTTCTCCCCAAACAGCTGTGGGAGCAAAGCCCTTCACCTGGGTACCCTTGGCTTCAATGGTGTGCTATGCAGGCAAGAGAGAATACACCCTCCTTATTAAGCTACCCGAAATGCCTCTGCTACCCAGAGAGAGAAGAATAGGGGAGGGATCACAGCACCATCGCTCCTTTTTGCTGTGGAAATAAGACCACCTTCTCCAGGCAAAGGCAGATTTGCTTTAACTCTGTCCTGAGATGATCGCTCCTAGATGCCAGCAGATATGCTGCTTTTTTTTAACATGGCCATCAATGAACGATCCACCCGCTCTCATCCTCCCTGTATGCATGTGTTCCTCCACTCCCGCTCCCAATGTTTATTCCCCCCTTGGAGGAAGATAAGCTCTGCAGATGGCACTTGATTTATGGAGTATGGCCTTTGGACGGGCCCTGAAAGCGTGAACTGCAGAAAGATGTTACAAAATCCCCCACTGCTTTTTTCTAGCAGCAAGGATTTATACCCGTGCTCCTGGCCAGCTGCGCCTTCCCTCTGTGCCAGGAAAGTCTCCTGCCTCCACCTGCAACGGCTGCTTTTCGAGGGTGTTATTTAAGTGCATCAGGGAGAAGGATTTTTCTTTGGAAAGGCAAATGCACTGCGGCGCAGTTCTCTTGCAGCAGGGCTGGGGAGATGGTGAGATCTTGCGGGGACCAAGA